TAGGAGATGAGAGTAATCAGCATTAATACAAGAATAATTGCTTACCAAGCGACATAAATGACTGTTAGCGACGTTTGAGAATGGAGAGCCGGCGCCCCTTGAGGTGTAAACACAAACGGTAGGGACGGTTCAGCTGCACGGACTTATGGTTGTGTGACCATTTAGATGACGTGATTCAAAGAGAAGCCATTAAAATAAGCTAACAAGGATCTTTTATTTAGTTATAGAAGATTATATGAATTTACAGTTTATTACACTAGCGTAGTATAAGTACTGATTGGTCGGTGATTTCTTCATTTTCCGAAACGAGATTTTTACTCTATTCCTCTTGAAGGACAGAAAATATTACAGAGTTTGAAGGGGACGACGGCACAAGATAGCTAGCAAGGCGAGAGTTTAGCTAGAGAACAAGATAGCGCCTGTCTGAGACACAAACACTAGTGGGTTGTCCGGTGGGCTTGGCAGGCTGGACATATTGGGCCGGACCGGGCCTCTACCCTCTGTTTCTTGGCTTGCCAAACGACCTCAACGGAACGGGATATTTAACTTTTTACCATTATAACGGATGACGACTCCTAAGATAGCGCTCTTAGAATTGGTGCTACGGTTTTAACAGCAGAGAGAGAACGGCTACAAAAATACCACTTTTACTCGTGTGGCACGCCAACTCCTCACGTCAGCATGGATCCGAGTTAGCAGGACATGTGAAATGTCCCTCCTGCCCCTGCCTTCTCCGTCTCCACCCTCTTCCTCTCCACCCACGTGACGCGCATTTCGTCGAACACTCTCAGGGCGAGCACCGCGCACTCTCGCTTGGAGTAGGCCCTGGTCAGCACGCTGTAGCCGTGGGGCTGCAGGTCGGGCAGGCTCTCCTGCACGTTGCCAAGCTTCGGCGCGTGCTCCGCGGACAGCAGCGGGACGGTGCGCGCCCCTTCTAGCTTGCACGGGTGGAGCGACCGGGCGTGCACGCCTGTCTGGCGTAGTCCACGGACACGGAGCAGGCGACAACGTGGCCCTCGTCATGCGCACAGCTCAGCTCGGCGTTCGACACGTTGCACGGCCTCCCCTCCGCTGAGCTCCATCTGCATGGCCCCGGCTTCGCTCTGTAGGGGTCGATGGTGGCGGCGGCGCCCGCGGGTGCGTGCGGCGAATGGCGGCCAACGATGATCTCCTCCACCTGCACGGCACCAGCGTGCTGGCCATGATGCTGCTCTTGAGGGCGTTGATGTGGTTGCCCGCGAGCACTCACGGCAGCGGACATTGGCTCGGTCAGCGGCGGCCTTCCCCCGCGCGCACATGCGCGGTGCGTGCGCAGCGACGGCGTGGGGCGTCTGCGCGGCCAGGGAGGCGGCGGCGGAGGCCAGGCAAGGCTGCCTGCGCGCGTTCCCGCGACGACTGCGGCATCGTCTAGCTCTCCGTCGAACTCCTCGCCGTCCACGGCAGCAACCACGCAGCGACGAGCTCCTGCCCAGCGTGTGCATCCTACGCGTGTGTGGTGACGCTTGTGGTTGTCGAGCAGGAGCTCAACGCGAACAACGGCGCCGTCTCCTTGTGCTCAGCGTCGAGCACCTTGCGGCTGCCATTGCAGTCGCGCCACATGACGAACCGCATAGCACACCTGCTGAAAGGTCCTAATGGCTAGAGAGGGGTGAATAGTCTATTAAAAATTTCTACAACAACACTTAACAAACCGGTTAGACAATTATGAGGCGAAGCAAGTGTTGCGCTAGCCTACTAAAAATGCAAACCACCTACCATAATTCTAGTTTCTATAGTTTCTAACCATACAATAGCTATATCACTACACTAAGTTAATGTGCTCTCAAAGGCTAACTAAAGAGCCACACTAACTAAACTAACAAGCTCTTACAACTAGCTATACTAAAGAGCTTGACAACTAGTTTGCGGTAATGTAAAGAGAGAGAGCAAGATGGTTATACCGCCGAGTCGAGGAATGAACCAATCAATCACAAGAATCGTTATCAATGAAGACCAATCACCTTGGAATCAAATGATGACACAATGTACCGAGGTTCACTTGCTTGTCGGCAAGCTACTCCTCGTTATGGCAATTCACTCACTTGGAGGTTCACGCGCTAATTGGCATCACACGCCAAACCCTCAATAGGGTGCCGCACAACCAATACAAGATGAGGATCACACAAGCCATGAGTAATTTACTAGAGTACATTTTGGCTCTCCGCCGAGGCAAGGTCAATAACCCCTCACAATCACCATGATCGGAGCCGAGATAATCACCAATGTCCGCTCGACGATCCTCGCTGCTCCGAGCCGTCTAGGTGGTGGCAACCACTAAGAGTAACAAGCGAATCCCACAGCTAAACACGAATATCAAGTGCCTCTAGATACAAACACTCAAGCAATGCACTTGGATTCACTCTCAATCTCACAAAGATGTTGAATCAATGATGGAGATGAGTGAGAGGGCTTTGGCTAAGCTCATAAGGTTGATATGTCAATACAAATGGCCAAGAGAGTGAGCTTGAGCCGGCCATGGGGCTTAAATAGAAGCTCCCATGAAATAGAGCCGTTGGCTCCACAGTTCATTGAAAAACCTAGGCGACCTGACGCGCGATCAAATCTATCGGACGTAGGACCCCAGCGTCCGGTCGTGCAATGCACGCCACATGGCCCCTGCTTCAAATGTTGATCGACCGATCTCAATGGTCATCAGTACATTTAAGTTGTGATCGGACGCACTGCTCAAAATGACCGGACGCAGGACCCCAGCGTCCGGTCGTTTCTAGTAAGGTTCCACTTGCGACCGAACGCGTTCGATCATGTCCGACCGGACGCAAGACCCCAGCGTCCGGTCACTTCCAGTAAGCTTCCAGAGGTGAAAATTCACGATCGGACGCGTCCGGTCGGTCACGATCGAACGCAGCATCAGCGTCTGGTCCTTTCTCCTCTTCTCTGTGCTGCCACGTCAGTGGGACCGGACGCACCCCGCCAGCGTCCGGTCGAAGACCGACGCCTGCACCTTCACTGCTACCACTGATTGGACGCAGGACCCCAGTGTCCGGATCACTGCGTAACCAGCGTCCGGTGCACTATGTGAAACCATATCTTTTCTGTATAGGGCGCCGGTGGCGCCGGTGGCACCGACGGACTGTCTGCATGTGAAGTTTCGAACCCTTGCTCTCAAGTGCTAAACATAATGTGTATCACCTTTGTGCATGTGTGTTAGTATATTTTTACAATCATTTTCAAGGGTGTTAGCACTCCACTAGATTCCGAATGCATATGCAATGAGTTAGAGCATCTAGTGGCACTTTGATAACCGCATTTCAATACAAGTTTCACCCCTCTTAATAGTACGACTATCGATTCTAAATGTGATCACACTCGCTAGGTGTCTCGATCACTAAACCAAAAAGCTTCTATCAATTTCACCTTTGTCTTCAACTTTTTGTTTCTCTCTTACTTCTTTTCCAAGTCCAAGCACTTGATCATCACCATGATCAAGTCATGATCTTCATTCGCTTCACCACTTGGAGTAGTGTTACCTATCTCATAATTACTTTGATAAACTAGGTTAGCACTTAGGGTTTTATTATATTTACCAAAACCAAACTAGAGCTTTCACCCGCGCCGGGAGCAGGTCTGCGCCTAGAGGGGAGACCTGCTCACGACGCCACGACACCGCCAAGCAGCCCGCCCTCGTCCTAGAGACGGGCGGACGGCGGGACACCGTCGTCGAGGAGCACCGCATAGGTCTCCTGCAAGTACGGCTTCACCATGTCGGGCTGCCATCGTCCGGTCCTCACTGCCTTTTCTACTTTCCCCTGCGAGCTGTGGCGACGTGATGAATTTTGCTTGATCCGGTTAACTATTGTGTGATCTTCAAATGCTTTTATTTTTTGTGGATATAATGCATTCTTGCTTTGGAGCTCACCATCTTGCTTCATGCATAGGAGTGCGGCAGCGGCATGGCCTTCTGCTGAAGTGCTGCAGCGGCATGGCCTTGTGCTGAAGTGCGATACTACAGCACAGCGCGAGAGGCCTGCGGCGACGTCCTGAGGCAAAGTGCTGCTGCAACTACCTCAGTGCTGCTGCTGTGTGGGGTGAGTGACCTGCGGCTGCGTGGACCGTGGAGGTCTGCGGTGACTCGGCCAGCAGCAGCGTGGAGGCGTGTGGCAACTCGTCCCCGGTGGCGCGGCAGGAGGAACGAGTGGGCCGAGCGGGAGATGAAGAAAGACACTAGGGGGAGGGGCGGTCATTTGACATGGGTTTGCTGACTCAGATCTGCGCTGACGTGAGGTGCTGGCATGCCACGTGAGTAAAAGTGGCAATTTCATATTGCTTTTTTCTCTTGGCTGCTAAAATCGTAGCGCCAAATCTAACAGTGCGGTATCAAAAATCGCCATATGGTGTAATGTAAAAAGTTTAAGTATCCCAAACGGAACGGAACCGGAATCCGGTACGCAACAGCAACGACCAACCAACCGGAGCCGACAAGGACAGGAAATCGCCACGGCGGCACCGCCCACCGCCGCCCGCCCGCCCCCATATTAATTAACAGCCGCGCGCGCACGGTGAAGTTCTAGTTCCGCCCGCGTCCGGGATCGCTGCTCCTCGACTCGATTCGATTGATTGGTTCCGTCTCGACTTTCAGGTGAGGCGACCTTTCCTCTTCTTCAAATCGCTGTTTTTTTTTGTTCCCCACCCAGTCCGTAATCTGTGAATCTCGCCGACGATTTTTGGGGTTCTCCTCCCTTGCTCGATTTGTTTGCTTGACTGATTGGCCCTCTTCCTCGGTTGCTCTCCGTTCCCCCGCCCTCCCTCGCCGATCGGCTTCCCAGTCGATCTCTCGCCGGGGTTGGTTCCCCGTGTTCTGCTGGATCTGGAAGGGGGCTGCCCTCGGTTCCTGGCTAACCGAAATTAACTGGTTTTCTTGAAGCTCTGTAGTCTGTACTGTATGTGATGTATTTCTTCCCATGGCAGGTTGACAAGGAAAGCATCGCCAGTTCACCATACAGATGGGTTCCAAAGCGCCTTTCTGTCTCGCGCTCCTCTTGCTGCTCGTCGCCGCCTGGGGACCTGCTGCAGAGGCCAGGCGTCTTGTACCTGCTGCACAGTCCAACGATGCTGGTAACAGACTTGGCATCCTTATGTTGTGTTCTTACTCAGGGACTCCATATCAGCACCGTTGACTTACTCTTATGCTGCAAAACTATAATCACCGTTGGTTGCACTATTTGTTTCTGTTATTTCATAGAAAGTATCATCAATTCATTATGTTCTCACTCAGGGACTCCATATCAGCACCGTTGACTTACTCACTTATGCTGCAAAACTATAATCACCGTTGGTCGCACTCTTTGTTACTACTGTTATTTCATAGATAGAAAATATCATCATGTCATGCTGGTTTGCTTATGTACAATTGTACATCTCCTTTACCCAAAAGGTGCAGTGGTCGTATGTCTAGATGTTTAGGGTACTAAACAGTTAACATGATTATTAGATAAGTTGAAATTAAGCATGTTTTATTTTCTGATCCTCCTATGCCAATTGCTTGGGTGGCATATATAGATACTACATAACATAACATAGGCTCAGCATGGCATCCATCCACTGCAACCCATGAAACATCCTTTCCTTATTAGTAGCGCTGGATCTTTTGCCTGCAGATTGGATCATACCCAGTTTATTGCCTTCTCACTTTTTCTTCATCTTGTGCAGTTGAACTCCCAGATCATGGCTTGACCTTGAAGGAACAAATTTCTTCAACCAAGATTCCTGTCCATCTCAAGGGTAGCGGCCCACTATGCTCAGCCTGTGAAAACTTCACGAGGGAAGCTGTCAGTTATCTCAGCGAGAAACAGACACAAGATAAGGTCATGGAATTCCTTCATGACGCTTGCTCTAAGTCATTCTCCTTTGAAGAGAAGGTGATCATCTTGAACATATTTTGTTTATTCTTATATAACTATAGATGTGTATGTATTGTAGAAAATTAAAATATTGGCACGGTTGCAAGATATTAAATGCATAAACATTTGGTTTCCATACTATATACCGTGCTGGGAAGGTGCTGCCTAAAATTAAATAATATACTATGTGGGTTTACTGTAATTTTCTCTAACAACTTCCCTATCTCTGCAGTGTGTTGAATTGATGGACTCTTATGCAACTCTCCTGTTTGCCAAGATTACCGAGATCAAACCAGAAGCATTCTGTAAACAGTATGGCCTGTGCAGGGACACGGCTATTTTCTCCGGTGTGAGAAGTAACAGCACATGTGTGTTCTGCCACCATCTGCTTGATGAAATTATGTCCAAACTGAAAGATCCAGATGCGGAGGTAATAGCTTCGCGTCATTTACTTGTTCCCTACCATGAGTTGCCATTCTGTGTCTGACATTTTCCACTTGATTGATGTCTGCAGCTTGAGATAATTCAGATTCTTATCAAGGAGTGCAATAAGATCGAAGGCCATGTTCAGCAGGTAAGCTATTTGGCTTTTGATGTGTGTAAACTTTTCACCCCTCAACTCACTATATGACAGATTTACTTTCCTGTCATATAAAAAATCTGAATGATTTGCAGAAACGCTAATTCTTTAAAAAAAACAGATATGAGCATGCACAACTTATATTGGGAATCGTTTTCTTGCTCAGTTGATTTGCGATGACATGATATGCAATGGCATGGGCTAATCTTGTTTTCGTGCTGGCAGTGCAAGAAGCTGGTCCTGCAATACATTCCCCTCGTCCTGGTGAACGGTGAGAAGTTCCTGGAGAAGAATGATGTTTGCGCGCTCCTACAGGCGTGTCCAGCCAGCCAGAAGAAGACTTTCAGCTCAGTCTTGCAGGGAGCGTTGCTGAGTGATGCTTGAATTGAAGGTTGGAGAAGAACACGCGAAGCGTTTAGCGGTGGTTGGAAATAGTGTGTCCAAGTGCCGTGTTGTACATATATATACCTATATATAATTGTCATATATAAATGCATGATGAAGGACGTGTCTTGTGCCCTGCATTCTTTTCATCTTGTATCATAATAATCACGTCGTCTTAAGTAAATTTTTATGGACATCCAGAGGGATGAAGGGTAAAACATTTGTATCAAAATAAACACATTGTCTTAAGCTACGGATGCAGACAATCAATTTATTCTATATCCAGAAAATTTCAGCACTGGTGGCGTGTAAACTGCAGATGCTGCAGTATTCTATTTTGTTTGCATCAAAGGTTGCAGATTTCAGAGTGCGAACGAGGGATTTCAGAGTACGAAAGAAAGATTTCAGAAACAACAGAAACTTCCATCAAAACAGCACGACTCATTTCGTTCAGTGGTTGCTTCGATCGACGGAAGCAATGCCACCTCCTCCTAAAATGATGTCCTGATCATGCACTTTCACTTTTGATGAGATTGAAATTTTGGTCAGTTTGGGCATAAACAATGGCTCTTCCAGACTCCCAAGCACATAGGGACTGCGGATGCGGAAGAGTAGAGTCAGCCCAAGCCGTCCGGAGAGGAGCAGGGGGATGGCGACGCCTCGCCGGCTCATCCGGGAGCGGGGCCGAGGCGGCGGAGATCCCGCCGTTGATGAGCGCGGCCGCCACCTTCTTCTTCGTAAGCCAACCTTTGATCTATCTCTCGCCGTAGTCGTCCGGCCCCGTTCCTGCAAGGTTACGTGACGCCATCTGCTGAATTGTTTGTGTTGGAGACGCAGATCCTGAGCGCCTACTTCGTGGTGCTGCCGCTGCGGGACGAGGGCGCCATCTCCCTGGGGCTCGACACCCTCCGGGCCCTCTTCGCCGGCTCCCTCCTCCTCACCGTCGTCGCTGCCCCCATCGCCTCTCTCGCCTTCTCCCTCCCCTCCATCCCCAAGCCCAAGGTTCGTCCGTCCGTGCCACCTCCCTTTCCTAGCTTGGGCGCATCCATTAGTTTGAGAATCATAAAATTAACCCCGGTGATAAATTGATAATGTGGGTCTGTACTGGTCAGCTGGTCCCTATAAATTGTGTTGTTAATCCTATAGAAATCAAGCAATGACCCCATTGATACAATAGAGATGAGCACAATGGAATTGATGGCTGGCTCCACCCCTGGTCTGGTTCAATCATTTCCCTCACGATTGATTTGTGTTTCTTGTTTCTTGTTTCATTGTACACAAAAATTAGGATTTGTTATTGTTTAAGCTCTAAAGATTGGATATTTGTATTTGTTATTATGTTGCGAGATGTAGGTGGACTCCTGGCCCTCCTTTGTCTGTGGGATTCTTGGCATTGTTTGTGTTGCTTTTATGCACTTGCTGTTTTTAAGTGTAAAAATTGTAAAATTAGTTGAATGATTATGGCCCTTTTCTCTTAGGCTCCGTTTGGATCCCTGGAAATGAAACTCATTCCAGGAATCATATTCTAGCAATCAAATTCAGCAAGAAATGAGTTACTCAGAATTTGTTTCAATTCAAATGTTTTGTTTGGTTCCACATGGAATCCTTTTCAAAGAATCAGTTTCAAATGTTGTTTGGATGATTAAAATACAGAATCTCCAATCACAGCTCTCCCTCTCCCTGTACTCACTTGGCAAATAGGATCATTGTGCCGCATTTGATCTGCAAGTTGTCTGCCGAGATGGATATCCCAGCCCACAGCAGTTGAATCAGCAACGTCCAGAACTGAGACTTGTCAGCTGCTGATAGGAACTTCGTCTAGAAACAGCAGGCCCTGGAGTCCCGGCTCGTAGCACAGGAGGTGCAACAAGCCGGAGCCTCCCACCACCACGACGCGTCATGATGCCACGACAGCAACCCCTACAAGCTTCAGGACGTGAGCCGCCCTGCTAACACACAGGAGCGGGCGAGACGAGAATAGCGACGGCAAAGGGGGTCCTGGGAAGAAGGCGAGACGAGGGTGTAGCTCCGCGAGGAGGACGAGAAGGGGGTCGGCGTCGTGGGGGAGGCCTCAGACTCGCACACCCCCATATCGAAGGAGGACGAGACAACGTCGAGGAGGGCCGCAAACCAACGAAGTGAAGATCGTAGATCTGAAACTCCAAAACAAGGGATTGAATGGCTATGGAGGGAGCAGGAGGAGGCAGCACATCTCAGACATGACGAGGAGAGCGAGGTGGTGGAGGTCTCCGAAGGGGGCGCGATGGGGAGGCCGGGAAAGAGCAGCGGCGTTGTCGGGGAGGGGGGGTGTTGGTGATGGCAGAGAAAGAGCTTGCAGTGTACGAGTCAACTCCCTGTGATCTGGTTTTCCACATTCCGTTTTTCAACCTGTGAATTGGAACCAGGCCTAGTTTTGGTCTCTGGAAAGGCCTAGAATCTCAGTTTCCAATTCAAAGCGGCAGACAAACAGGCCGGCCTTGGAAAGTGATTCCAATTCAACCTAATTCTAAGGATCCAAACTGGCCAAAGATTTTCCCCTTTAGTATTGATTGTTTGATTTATCTATTATTTCTTTCATTTTTAGTGAACTTTTCCATTTTCAGAATTTAGATAATCTTGTAAAACTATTTACATAGTAGAAATTACGTGGAAATTATTCTTTTATAATGATACAAGCTAATTCTATCATGTATATATCTTCTTTCAGGCTTTGGTGATGATACACAGATTTTTCAGCATCTCTCTTCTTGCATTTTTTGTGCTTTGGTATACCTCTACACCGGGGGCAGTCAGGAACTACCTCCCAGGTAATAGATGCCGATGAACGTTTGCTGTCCATGTCCATCAATATTTCCACAATTCCTTGCAATCTTTGGAAAACTAACTGTCCAAGAATACTTCTTTCACTTCACCACTTCGTATGTGCATCAAATTTTCTTTTATTGGAATCTTGAGCAACAATTCCTGACACAAAAGAGTTGTTGCCCTTTGTTCTCTTGTCTGATAATGAAGTCAAGTGAAGGAGGTTCAGATAAACCTGCAGGATGGAGAAATCAGAGCTGGTTCTACATAGTTGTGAGAATAAGTTTGTTTCTTTGGGTATGTCCTTTCCTAATGACGACTGTTCATGTTTTAAAGACCAAAGATGATAATTAATTTGAATAACTCTCTTCATCTGAAGGTTGCTTTGCTAAATCTCATTACAATATCATCAACTTGGGCAAGGGTAATTGATGTCATGGACAGTGAGGTACCATTTACTATTGCGCCAATAATCATGTAATTCTTATTGCTTACTGCCTGTTCAACCCTTTTCTTGTTCTTCAGTTTCTTATTTCTCTTTTAGTTCAGTCAGGTTCAAGATTATTTGGTTTTATTGGGGCTGGTGCTACGCTAGGGCAACTTTTTGGTTCATTGTTTGCTGCATGTACGGCATGGCTGGGACCATGTATGTATCATTCTCTTGAGTAAATTAATGAGTTAGTTTCTAATGTTTCATGGAATGTGACTTCACATCTCCCAATTGTTCCTCAGTTCTGCTCCTATTTTCTTCACTCTTGATGGAACTTGCTGCTCTCTCATCAAAAGGAATTTGTATTGATGATGGAAATCATGCTTCGGCTGAATTATGTCAAACAAGGTATGAAATCCTTTTGGACACTAATTACATGTTATCCATTCATCTCCCTGATAAGTTCCCTGATAAGTTCGACCTGGGCAATCTGTATGTTTTATAGAAAACATTTCTGGGTCGATTTCCATTATCAAACTTTGAGCCGCAAACATTTTCCCAATGTTTTTAAGGCGTCGCTTTGGCGTCGCCTAATCGGCAAGGCGCTACAGGCGGGACGACTTGGCGGACAACTCACCTCAGATTGGTATGGCGTCCGGAAGTCGTCGATTTGGCGTCCGATTCGTCGAAATCGAGCAAGGCGGGCGCCATACGGGGATGGCCACGGTAGGAAAAAACGCTGCGGAGAAAGGATCGGGAAAAGTGCAGTGCATCGCATGCTGGAGATTAGCGCGCCAGGGAGAGAGGCGCAGAGAAATCGAGAGCGAGAGAGGCGCTCCGCAGGAAGACGGACCTACACTGCGCCCGCCAAGCAACGCGTTTGCCCATGCCGCCGGTAGAAAGCTGCCGCCGCCGAGGCTCCGCCTCCCCCCCCTGTTCCCCATCATCATGTAGCGAGGAGCGGCCATGCGCTACCTTCTTTTCCCCTGTCGCCTCTTCCGTCCTCCATTGAGCAGACACGAGCCGCCGCGCTCTCCCTTCCCTCTTCCCCACCAGCGAGGAGCAGCACCACGGCGGACTGCTGCTTCCCCAACGCCTCCTCTCAGTGAACATCGAGCAGGAGCAGGACCCTAGCCGCCGCCTCCGGTCTTCCTCGAGCGGGAGGCGGGACCCGAGCCGCCTCCTCCGGTCTTCCCTCGAGCTGTACTCTGCTCCTGCTTTCAGATTTTTCTAGCGTCTTCTGTCTTCTCTCGAGCAGGACAGCAGCATGCTGATTTGTTTATATTTGCTTTGCTTGGTGCTTAGTGCTCAGTGCTCACTGCTCAGTGCTTATTGCTTAGCCTCTTCTGGTCAGTGTTCAGTGTTAATTAACTATTTGTGTCCACTGTCCAGTTGTCCATTAGTGCATAGTGTTAATTAATAATTACTTTGCTTGTCGTGTTTCACAGGAGTCCATCTAAATGGCAACACAAGACACTGTAAGTCCACAAAGTGTAGGCTCAGGTACTGCTGAATATGATCCAAGGACAGATCCAAAAAGGAAGGCCAGGTCTGGTGATCCTGGGTGGAAGTATGGCTTCTGGCCAGAAATTGGCAACAGAGATTTGGTTGAGTGTATCCTCTGTGGAACTCAAGTAAAGTCTGGAATCAAGAGATTGAAGGAGCATCTTGTAGGTGGATATGGAGATGCTCTCAAATGTGAGAAGACAACAACAGCAATTGCTGCTGAAATGGAAGCAGCACTAGTTCAGGGAAGAAGGAGAGCGCTAAACCTAGATGATGATGATGATGGTGTTCAAGTGGTGGAGGTTCAAAACAATGCTAATGCTGCCTCTCAGTCATCTGGTACAACTGTGCAACATCCAAAAGGAAGCAATCTGCTCTCAAATTTGCAAATCTACCACCTAGACCAAAAGAGAGAGAAGAAGTCAGTGATTACCATGCTTCGGAAAAAACCTGAAGAAGTGGTTGAGGAAAGGCATTCTAAGAATGGACCTGCACAAAGCAGTGTGGAGGGAAGGATCAGGACCAAGGAAGAAAGAGATGAAGTCAATATGCATGTGGCCAATTTCTTCTATGAGTGTAGAATACCACTCAATGCTATCAACTCAAGGAGCCTTGAGATTATGTGTGAGGCCATTGGGCAAGATGGACCGGATATAGACCTCCTAGCTACCATGAGGCGAGGGTGCCATTGCTTGGAAAGGTCAGGAACAGTCAACAAAATAAAGGAGAAGCATGAGGTCGCTTGGAAGCAATATGGTGACACTAATGTCGAGATGGGTGGATGAGATAGGCGGGCCGTCACCTCATTAATTTCCTAGTCAATAGTCCGAGGGACTTTCTTCTTGAGTCTGTTGATGCATCCAAAGAAGTACATGATGCACCAATGTTGGCGATTTACTACAACAGAGAATTGATCTCATTGGAAGAGACAAGGTTGTTCAAGTGGTCACCGACGACGGTTGCTAATTATAAGGCAGCTTGCAAGCTTCTTATGGAAAGAATTCCAACACTGCTTCGGACCCCTTTGTGCAAAGACACTGCTTGGACCTCATGCTAGAGGACATTGGCAAAATGAAGGAGTTTAGCAAGCCTATTGCACGTGCAAGACAAGTTACTACCTTTATTTATAGGCACGAGAGGCTTCTTGATGCAATGAGGGAGAAGACAGAGGTAGAGATCTTGTTAGACCAGGAGTAACTCGTTTTGCTACCGCTTTCCTCACTTTGCGCAGCCTACACACTCATAAGGATGCTCAAATTCCTATTTGTAAGTGATGACTAGACTAAGTCCAAATTGGCAAGAACGTAAGCGTGAAAGAAAGTGCATGACACCATCCTTTCAACCGAATTTTGGAACTCGCTTGAGGATCGCCTGAGAGCATCACAACCCCTTATTGTTTTGTTGAGGATAGTTGATGGGGATGAGAGGCCAGCAATGCCGAGGGTTCAGATTTTGTATGGAATATGCAAAGCAATGTTTTTGAGGCGCCACATGGCGCGCGCCTTGACCTCTTCACAACGCCTAGGCGCTTTATGGCGGACGCCTAGGCGACGCGCCATACACACGCTATAAGGCACCGTAAGCTAGAGTTTTATATAGTAAGTGCAGCACATACATACCGGGTTTGTTCCCACCTTACGAGCCCAGTTTCCTTTCTTCCCTTTCCAAAAGCTCTCTTCTCCCATGTAGCATCCATCCCCATTGAAGCAAACTACATGACAATTCCAAAATTCAGCAATCTATGACATGAAGAAATGTAAATGAACATGTTACATTGTTACCAAATTGAGAATTAAATAAGAAACAATACACAAGAGGCAATACAACAAATTAGCAAGCATTAGTGGCTTAGTGCATTAGTTCATGCATGAGCATGACAAATGACATCATAGTTTGTCTCTAATAGTCCACAAACTTAGAGACCGAAAGTCTGAAGCTTCGGACTCTAAAGCATTCTAATTACTAGTCAACTACACCAAAGCCATACAACATGAGTGCGGGACAAGGGTGTAGGACACAAAAAGGCCGAGTGCAAATCTACTTCAAAGACTCAAAATCCATCATCAAACTCATCAAGATCGGCAGCTGCGTTGTCTTGATCAAGATGCAGGAACATTGCCGACTTCTTCACACTCGCTCACTTCGCATCATCATGTGGGTCTTCAACTTCGCTCTTCCTCTTCGCCATCTTCTTCAAGAGTGAGCAGAGAACATTTCTCGAGCGTCCTATAATCTTGAATAGGAGCAAGCAGCTCTCTCCTAGGAAGGTTACGACCTGCAGCGCTTGTGATGCACCGATGGCTTCATCAACATGCTTGCCATGTGAGGTCATCAACAACATCGGACCCTCGAGCACCCGGAATGAGGCACATGCAATGAATCAGCCCATTCATTGTCCCAATCGAACTCCTCAATGACCAAGGGGTCATATTTCTTGCCCGCCTTCTCACGCCTAAGTCAAAACCTTGTTCTCATCTTCCGATTGATGAAACAAAGACAATATCATTCAATCTCTTGTGCAAAGACCCTATTCCTTTTCTTTGTATGCATCTAAAAAAAAATCGGATGGGAAGCAAAACAAAAAATCAGATTGTATGCATCTAAATATAAACTGTTAGTCACAAGGATACTCACATGACTGAAGGTACTCCAACATCTCTCACGTCTCGAGGATGAAGCACAAAGACTAACTATACGCTTAGCAAGTCTTTGTAGTTCAATGGCTCGCCACCATAAGAACGCCACCAATCAACTGGATGAAAAGGACCACATATTAGGTGTTTGGAATGCAATTAAGTTGCTTGAAATTTACAAGTTGAGATAAACAAAGACTTACGAGGATTCATTTTGTCATAGCTTTCCTTTGCCATTTTGTTTGAGAAGGCTTCTCCACGTTGCTCTTCATACTTAATGGCTCTCGCCTATTGATCTTCATTTGTGTTTCCACATCTCGGTATCATTCTTCCAAGCACTTCAATAAAACAACCTCTTAGTCGCCCAACAAAGGACATCATCATTAGCTTTTATCAGAGGAAAAAAATTTCCCGGGTTCAAATATAGTGCAGCCCCATACAATGGATGGTCCATTTGTTTCACCCAACGCCTCTCAATAATTTCCATGATCTTCTTGAGTAGGCCATCCTTGGTTGGTATATTGAAGCTTTGCTTTATCCTCTCTTTTGCATGATTCATTAGAGCCCATACCTCCGGCATTGCGTGCTTCTCATCACCATCAACAACCCTCAAAACAATTAAGAGTGGGGCTTTGAAGCTTTAGGCAATCTTCTCATCGAGTTCCAAAACTCGATGAGATAGCACAATGTCTTGCACTTGTTGACTCTTTGCAGCTTGTACACAAGTTGTTCCCATCCATGCTTCACTAACAAACAAGCTCTTCAAGGCATCCTTGTTCTTGTACAAACTCTTCAATGTCGTAAATGATGTGGCAAATCGAGTCTTTGCTGTCCTAACAAGATCAGTCCCACTGCTTGAGCCCTCATTGCACTAAGAAGCCTTCCATGCCTATAAATGAAGTTGGTGACACGCTTAGCACGTGCAATAGGTTTCTTGAATGCCTTCAAGTTCCCAATTTCTTCCAATATCAGATCCAAGCAATGTGCGAAGACAAGGACTCCAAAACAAAGTGGGAATCCTATCCATCAAGATCTTACCAAAGACCTTATAGTTAGCGCCATTGTCGGTCACAACTTGAACAACATTGTCCCTTCCAATGTCCTCAATCTTCTCCCACAACAAATCAGCTAGCATTGTTGCACTATGAACTTTACTTGATGCATCAACTGACTCCGTAAAAGTACGTTCCTCGTATCGCTCACAAGAAAATTAATCGTGGCGCCTCTCATATCACCATCCATCTAACATTAGTGTACAACCATATTGCTTCCAGTGCCTGCTCATGGTCCTTCCTCATGTCACTTGTCACCTTAACACATTCTTGGAGCAAAGGGTCACCAAGTCAGCTTTGGTTAGTTGGAGGCTTGTACCTGAACCATATTGGTCATGTTGCCTCACAAGCAATTTCAAATTGCCTTGAATTTGTTGCATTAAAGGCTACACCACACTCCATGAACCACATGTGCCCATTGCATATCCACATATTGCTTCTCCTCCTTAGTCTTTGTCTTTGGACTCAATGGTGGGTGAAAGTCCTTTGCACGCCTTTGATCTACTATCTGCTCAGTGTGTTCTTCTAAGCATACCAACAACCCGACTTTGTTGCATTGGTCTTTGGTGTCTTTGGTGTAGAATTGACACTCGCTAGTGTTGAAGCCTTGAATTGGAAGATAGCATGCCTTTTCTTAGCGGCTGTCCCGAACTTGGTTTTTTTGCAGCCACTTTTGGTGTGGCATTTGTCAGTTTGCTACTTTTGTACATCTGCAATGCTACCTCCACAATTTCATCTTCTGGTTCCCCATCCTCCTCAATACCATCCAAGTACAAAGGCCTTCTTCTCTTCTTTTGCAAGTAAGCTTCCATCTCTTTCCCGATTTCAAGTGCTAACTTTTGGACAAAGGATAATATCTCCATATCCACCACCAAATGTTGCTTGAACCTCTTTATGCCTCCCGAACCCTCATGTCCACACAGATACATGTCACCCAGGCTCTCCTAGCGAGGTCCCCGCCAAAGAGCCATATTTCCACTGGATCATTGGACTTTACTTTCCTTGTTTGGATCAGTCTTGGGATCATACTCAGTACTTCAACTGTGCTTGCCATGTTGCTTGGTCGGATCGATCTTGGGATCAAAGAAAGATCTGTGCTTTGTGTTGTAGCAGGTGTGTGTGACCCCAAGCACACAAGCAGCATTTGTATATGTGAGTACCCATATAATATAAAAAGCAAGCATCAAAGAAAAGCAGAAGCGAATAAAGAAAGTGCAGAATAAATATTAGAGAAGGGAGGAGGCGGGGGCAGGCATCCAAAGATGAGCATACAATATTCCGATTGAGGTCAATAGCGAGCATGAGAACGAGGCATACAATATTCAGATCAAAAGCAGAAGCAAAGAGTATACGAGGCATTACTATATTCACGTATAGAGTAGGCGGGGGGCATACCACAGCGGCAACAGATGACCGGAGGCAAATGTTTGGAGGGGGCTCGAGCTGGCGAGCGGAGGCGCTTTTTCTCGGTGGAGGCTGGCCGGTGGACTCGAGTCAAGCGAGCGGGAGGAGCAAATGAGCGGGCAGCAGAGGTCCGCCTGCCGCCTTCTCTCTTTCTCTCCCTCTCTCCCTCGCCTGGGCAAATTTTCTTCTCGGAAGGGAGGCTGGCCGGTGGACTCGAGTCAAGAGCGGAGGAGCAATGCCAAGCGGAGCAGAGGTCCGCCCGCCGCCTTCTCTCTCTCTCTCCCGGTCTCCCTCGCCTCAAAGCTTCTTCTCGAAAGGGAGGCGGGCCGGGTGGACTCGAGTGGCGAAGCGGAGGAGCAATGAAGCGGAGCAGGAGGTCCGCCTCACGCCTTCTCTCTTTCTCTCCCGGTCTCCCTCGCCCCTCGCGGTAATGGCTCAGAGGTCGATTTCCCGCCAGTGAGTCGCAATTCCGCGCCACAGGCCGATTTATGATTCAATGGTCGGTCATTTTCAAGGCCTTCCCTCAAGCCAAGCGTCCGATTTCGCCCTCCCTGCGAATTAGATTATGGCGTCCATTGAGTGCTCTCTAGGCGTCCGCCTGACGCCATTCGTGCCTAGGCGACGCCTAATCTGGCTGAGGCGGACGCCATACAGCCGAGGTCGTGGCGAGGACGACGCCTGTGCCCTCGAGCACGCCTTGGCGCCTAGGCGACGCCTAGGCGACGATTAGGCGACGCCTCAAAAACAATGATGCAAAGTAAAAGATTAAAGAAAATTTCCCTATTAGGGGAAAGGCAGACTTGCTTAAGCGTATCTTGGCAATCATTGACAAGCGTTGGGAAGATCAAATGGACCAACCATTATATGGGGCAGCACTATATTTGAACCCAAACAAGTATTTTGACCTCGAAAATGATGATGTTATGGCTCGTAAGCTAAGGTCCGCATTTATTGAGGTTCTTTCAAAATGGTGCCCGACCAAGATCTTCAAAACAAGATTGATGACCAAGCTTTGGAATATGAGGACTTAAGGGTAGCTTCAAAGAACAAAATTGCAATCAACAATATCAAAACCAAGTCTCCTAGTAAGTTATTCACCGAATCGTACAATCTGATTTTTTTAGTCTTTCCTAATTTTTAACATGAAAATGTTTATTTGATCACTTGATCTAGTTGAATGGTGGCGTTCATATGGTGGCAAAGCCATAGAGCTTCAAAGATTTGCAAAACGTGTTGTTGGGCTTTGTGCTTCGACTTGTGTTGTGAGCGTTGTTGGAGCACATTTGAGTCAGTAAGTAATCAGTCAATTACATAAGTACTCAATTATCCCAGTTCAAGGAATAAATAAAATCTACTATCTATTAATGCTTGCTGAATATTTCTTTTGTTTGCATTTTTACCATTGCAGATTCATACTAAGAAAAGAAACAGGTTAGAGCATAAAAGGCTTAATGATTTGGTCTATGTTCAGTACAACCGAAAGATGGCAGTGAGGTTTCAAAAGCGACATGAGAAAGGAGCAGGCAACTTTGATCCTTTGTGTTTGGAAGACTTTGATTGGAACAATGAATGGGTTGATGTGGATGCGGAACCAGTCCATAATGGCCGTGGACTTGAAATTACATGGGATCAAGTTGAGGCTGAGGCTGTTGGTGCATCCCAAATGTATCGTGGTCGTAATTTCCCTAGGGCAGCCCGCGGCGATGCAACTAATATTGATAGAACTTATACTCGTAGGCGGTCTGCAGCAGCTACTGCCCCAATTAGGAGGACTTATGAACCACAGGAGGATGAAGACATGGAAGATGATAACTCTGATGAAGAATATCTGGTTGATGATGTGGAAGTTGATGACTATGGTGAAATTGCACCTATTGTTGCTGACGAAAGTGATCAAGCTGCTGCTGGTGGTGGCAATTCAGATCCTTTTGTGATGGAGGTGACTTCTATTGACTTAATGATGCTTGAGAGTTGTGAGAGTATTTGTGCCAGACTATTTATGCACTAGTATTGTAGTATTGTGGAATGTGCTCACTGAGCACTCCAGTTATCTTGTTTAGTGGACTATTGTTGAACTACTTGTGTAATGGTTTTATTTGTGGCAGTGTGCTTATCTACTCGTTAATCTTTACCTGTTCCTCAACTAATTTCTATTTTTGCTGGTGCCATATTCCCTATGAAATACCTAGGTACTAACCTGAATTGTCTCTCCATTGCAGTGTATTGTTGGATGCACACTTGGGGCTGCGGGCTGCACAGGAGAGGACAACACCAAGGTATGACATGCTTCCAGTTCTCTAGTCTATACTACTGTTGGATGGCCGTAAGGCGTCGCCTCGCCCTACGCCTTACTCGCTTTAGCGTAAGGCGGTAGTTGGTCGCCTCACCTCGCTTTACCGCCTTAAAAACCTTGCATTTTCCTTCTATTCATGATCAACTATATCTTTGTGACAATCTATATTAACAATTTGTATTTCAGACCTCTATTAGAAAAGTCAGCTTTTGCAATAAATATATAGGCTTCACTGATGATTTTATTTTATCTTTTGATGCTTCCCATATCCGTGGGTTGCAATCTAAGACATTCCAATCTATTGCTAACTGCAGGGCAGGACAATCTCCTAATACCGTGGCTGATGATGAAATGTCTTCACTGGTCACTTCACCTAGATCAGCTATCCAATCTCAAAAATCCAAATCTGAATTTTTCATAATGTTTGAAGGTTTCTGGCTGATCTTGCGATCACCCTACCTTATATACATATCTCTGTTTCTTTGGTTAAGTGCAGTCGTCTCATCTGTATTTTACTTTCAGGTATGGTTATTCTGTATATGTGTATTGCCATGCATCATTGAGCTCGTTTCTTTATTGCATGTCATAATGATAATACAAATGAGCCATCTTTTACTCCCAATTACCTTTTCTCCATGATTTTCAGAAAGTGACGATAGTTGCTACTACAATATCAAGCCCAACGGCCAGAAGGAGAACATTTGCTCTGATAAACAGCTTTATAGCAGTTTTTATTCTTGCAGGACAGCTCACTTTGACGGTATTTTGCATCTATTGATTATTCTCCGTTCACTCTATTTCAGTAGCCCCAATACCTTATGATACATCAAACCATAAGTGAAACTGATGAAGCCTAGTCCTTTCACAGACATCTTTTTTTTTATTTAATTAATTGTTGGTATGTTTTTGACAAATATTTCAGGGTCATATTCTTACAGTAGCTGGTATCACAGTTGCTATCTGTGCATCTCCCTTTGTTGCTGCCTCAAATTTGGTTGCCCTTGCTGTATGGCCAACTTGGGTTGCCGTGGCTGTCACTGAAACAATTAGAAAGGTACCAGTTTAATAGCTATTTTTCAACAGGTAGATGACAACATGGAAGGGCGGGCCTGGTGCAAGCGGTAGAGTCTTACTGTCTGTGACTAGAAGGTCCCGGGTTCGAGTCGCGGTCTCCTCGCATTGCACAGGCGAGGGTGAGGCTTGCCACTAACACCCTTCCCAGACCCCGCACAGAGCGGGAGCTCTCTGCACTAGGTACGCCCTCTTTTTTTAGATGCCAACATGCTAACTATGCAGCAAGACCAAACTACATTAAGGAAAGCAGAGTAGTCATTATCATCTAGTGGTGAATATGCATATTCTGAGATGTTTCAAATCTTGTTTTTTTAATTTAGTTGGTAGTATTATATAGACATGATACAAAAGAGCTTGTGCATCTCACAAGTTGAGGCAGTAGCATTTTTGCTGCAACCAATTTTTTCATCTATCTATGCCAGTTTTGGGAATAAAATAACAAATGTAGTTCAATAATAGGAGCCTGTTGTGTACCTCTATCCATTATTCTTCCTACTCCATCCTGTCATTTCTAAATTCAGCTATATTCAAGAATATAACTAACCTTTGACTCTTTGCAGGTAACAACTTATGTTTTGACAAGACCTGGAAGGGAGTTATTATTCACTGTTGTCTCACAGGATGAAAAATACAAAGCAAAGGTAAAAAGATGTTTCTTGGAACCTTCTAAAACCTTGATTATAGGAAACAAAAGGGTGATGAGTTGGTATTTGCAAAAATAATCAGGCATTGTAATTTAGCCCATTATTGTCATGACTTCTTTCACACAAAAAATAATTATTCCATAATATTGTAAAAAATGGTAATGAAATTATAGCTTTGTGTGAAGTGATCATTCAGCATTGCAGCTCCATGAGATCTACAGCTCTCTTAAGATAGAAAGCTAATTGTCTAAAAAAAATGGAAGTTACTAAATAGCAGTAATAAACTCAAAAGCCTGTTTTCAGAAACATTAGACCGTTAACTGGAAAGAGTCAGTTTTTGCGATTGCCTGCCTACCTTTTGCGCATCAGATCATTTAATAACAGTTTCTCTCATATTGGTAAATCATGCAACATTGTTCTTGTTTTGCACCCATCTTGCCATAATTTAGAAGAAAATACTTTCGATTTTTTTATGTAGGTCTGTATAGATGTGATTGTTCAGAGGCTTGGTGATGCAACAGCCGCTGGAATTTACAGGTGGTTGTTCAGTAGCCTTGAGAAGAAAACATCCAAGGTCACCCTGTTTGCATTGCCGGTATGAATTGTATTGTGGTCAGTTGGTTACTTTGTTTCTAGTGTGATACGTGTTGTTTTATATTCAAATAGTGCCTCAGGGTAGTCCTCAGGTCTTACATCACTCGGAATGGGAAATGTAATGCCCCGTACTTCTGGAGAAATTTTATCAACATATATAATTTTATCAACATATGTAATGCCCCGTGCCTGAACCTTGATTGCTTCTGATGGGTTTCAACTCTAGCCTACCCCAACTTGTTTGGGACTTAAAGGCTTTGTTGTTGTTGTTGTTGTTGTTGTATATAATCCTAGTCCTAGTGCCATTCTGAGCGAGGGAGGGAGGGGATTTGCATTCGCAGTGCCTCCCTGCTGTCCTTTTTATCACTTGCACAAAGTATCTTTATACATGTGAAACAAGCTAGTGCTGAACTAGATAACCTGAAAGTATTGATAAAGGTTCTTTGTGCCCAGCATGTTTTTTTTTTATAAGTTCTGGGAGGTAGCAATTAACAGTTTGTTGTATTTATTTTCAAATGTCAGCTCTGCTTCGTGTGGCTTGTCATTGCATTTCATTTGGGCCAGCTCCAGACTAATCTTGCCAGGCTTCAGGCTGCTTCTGCCCCGTCCTATTCCTGAACAGGTATATAGGGACCAAAAAAATGGTCCCCCTTCATCTTTCATGCTCACCGCAGAGTCAGAGTTTAGGGTTCTGAGTTTTGACTGAACACAGGGAGCTGCTGCAAGTGTCCTTGGAGAAGCGCTTCCAGAATGTTTGAACAGACATGGCAAGAAGTTAGGTTGTCATCAATAGTTAGCTTACATGTTTTGAAGGAATTTCAGGTTTGATGGAGAAACCTTCAGAATATAGTACCAGCCATCCATTACTACACTACAGAAGAGTTTAGCATACAAGAGGGGAGAAATAGTACACCATAGATTAGAACAATATACAAATTCAGTATTCCATTTCGATGTGCACTGTAGGGAACTCTAGCATGCAATGTGTGAGTTATTATAATGATGTAGTAGGGCCGGATTTGTTGGCCATTGCTATGCCTTTGGAACTACTGTTGTCCTGACAGACACAGCATTCTGCATTTCACCTACTTCAAGATCCCAGACTAAATGGCTGTAAACACAGATTGTGCGAGGTGGTGGTACACCTGACCTTCTTCCATATTTTTCAGAAAAATGCCTGCTTTCTGGAACATGAACATTTCTTTATCGACAGGAGTAGTAGAACAATGTCTCACGTTCTTCGTGCTAACCGTATAAGAAATGACACACGAGTTGAACTATAAAGACGAGGCAGTGAATCATCGGATGGACACAGCACAGGCCTCTCTAGCTATCTAGCTGCATTTCATCTGCTCGCTCCGATCTGTGGTTGATCTGATCGATCTGTCGCAGCAATCCATCCAATGCAAGCCATCATCATCAGCAGCAAGAAGGCAGCAGGATCATCCATGGCGAAGTGCATTGCTACCGTGCTCGCCGTCGCCGCCGTGCTCACGTCAATGCAGCCATCGGTGGCGGCGAGCAACGCGCCGGACGCAGACGCGCTCCGGTTCCCCGGCCGCCCGGGCAGCAGGCCGCGTAACCCGGTGTTCCCGGGGTACCCGAGAGCCAGGCCGTCGCCGCCGGTGCCCGGCAGCTCCTCCCCGGTGGTGCCGTCACCCATGCCCAGCGTGCCGTCGTCGTCGGGTCCAGCGTCGCCGGCGCCCTGCGCCAGGCCCGTGGTGCCGCAGCTGCCGGGCTTCCCCGGGCTGGGGGGCAGCGTGGGCGGCGGCGGCTCTGGCTCTGGCGGCTCCGCGCCGTCGTCGCCGACCGACTGCGTGACCCCGCTCGCGGGGCTAATGACGTGCGGGACGTTCCTGACGGGGAGCGAGCCGGAGACGCCGACACCGCAGAGCGAGTGCTGCGCGGGCCTGGGAGCCTTCCTCAACAGCTCCAGCTCCGGCGCGGCGGAAGGCGACGACCACACGCTGCGGTGCCTGTGCCCCGTCATCCTCGGCGACGTGAACAAGATGCTGCCTAAGCCCGTGGACCCCGTCCGCATGATGTACCTGCCCATCGCCTGCGGCGTCGTCCTGCCGCCACAGGTCCTCTACATCTGCTTCAGTGAGTCTTCTTCCTCCCTAGCTCTCTCTCCTCGATTGATCGATTCTTCCATGGCTGTTGGCTGTTGCATGACTCCGTGGATGAGCATTACGTGACTGATCGACCGTTGCATTGCATGATGCTGCCATGGATGGATGCAGCTGGGCAGCAAAGCCCGCCACTCGTCGGCCGCATTCCTGACGTCTGGGAGAAGCCGACTTCAGGCAAGGAATACTCTGTTAGCTAGTTCTTCAAGATTTAACAGCTTGCTTTTCAGTTCATGGTTCACATTATATGACTGCTCGTGGAAGTAGATGTCTGATCTTGTCTTCTCTGTTCCATATATGCAGCCTTGTCGCCATGATGAGCAACTTGAATCTGAATGGAGGCCGGACACAAATGATTCAACCAGCATCATATATAGTTCATATAAGTACACAAGATCAAACTATGCATGCCTCTCTAGAACATGCATGCTTCCATATATATAGTTTAACATACATACTCCCTCCATACTTAGAAAATGAAGTCGTTTTGGATAATGCTCGTGTCAAACATTCAGAATATAAATCATGAATAACTTTTAAGTTGTTGAGTTTGGAAATGTGAAAACCATATGTATAGATTTGTCTTGAAAAATACTTTCACAAAAATTTACATATATCACTTTTTGATAAATATATTTATAAAAATAAGTAGTTAAAGTTATGCTTTGGAGACCATGTCGCTGTCCAAAGCAACTTCATTTTTTAGTATATATATATATATATATATATATATATATATATATATATATATATATATATCATATATAGTTACGATAGTTACTATGCTAATTTAACTTACTAGGTTACTTTGAGTTACGATAACTCCTTACTATGTGATCCTTACTATGTGATGTACTATAACATTATGGTAAATATCACCGTGAGTTGTCGTAACACGAGTATCGTAAATGCATATTCATGTTATTGTAAATTGGTACAAACATTATCGTAAATCAATGGGGCTATAGAATAAGTTATTCTATGGCCAGTGTTCTGCAGCTGGCCATAGAATAACTTATTCTGTGGCCACTTTGAGTTACGATAATTACTATGCTAATTTACGAGATTACAGTAACTCCTTATTAAGTGATTTACTATAACGTTATAATAAATATCTTCATGTGTTATAGTAACACAACTATCGTAAATATATATTCACTTTATGATAAATTAGTATATAAAATTATTGTAAATGAAGGTGGTTATAGAATAACTTATTTTATGGCCAGCTGCAGAATAGTATTATATATATATATATATATATATATATATATATATATATATATATATATATATATATATATATATATATATATATATATATATATATACACACACACACACGATAGTTTCAAGCTATCAGCAATTAATAGGCCGTGGATGTACGCACTTCAGAAATTTATTACCATCAGGTCTCATATGTAAGACAATGCTCCTTTACACGGAAGAGTATATTATATATAATATAAGCCAGGGTAATCGTATGTCTTTGAGCGTATTGTTCCGATTAAACGCAACTAAAGAATACTGCGATCCAGTTATCTGAGGAAAGAAAACAAAAAAAAATACAATAAATTGCAGGGAACAAACTTCCTACTGGAATGGCATTTCTTTGTCGATGTAACTTGCTCATAAACCCTCCTAATAACAGCAGCAAGATGAAAAAGACATACATCTAAAAAAATAAGAAGAAACAAAGATTCAGTCTTTTCCATGGATCAAGGAGTGATCAAGCATAACAGGCCTAAACCAGAGTGCTTCGATTTTGGTGATGGCTGCTTTCTGGGACATGCATAGTCAAAGACAGCCTTCTTCGTGTGCAAAACAAATTAAACCCAGGATCTGTTCAACTTGTTACATTGTTCCTCCATGAGCTAACCAGGAGTGAGAAGTGCATCCCCTGTTTGGGCAGCAACTGACAAGTGATCATCCCCTGTAGTTTGGGCGCACGCAGACTGATAGACGTACATACGCTCTCTGCATTTTCTGTAACTTAATTTCTGTGCAAATTTTTCCAGCTGCTTCCCCAAAAGCGGTGCAGATGTTTTTGTTCATCTTTATTTTAGTTTCCTTTGTTTTTTTTCAAAATATAAACTGCATGTTTCATTCCATCCCAGGTGTTTTGCGCATCCAGTTATGGAACGGTTCTTCTTTCTTGCGGAGCCATCATACTAGTTGATTGGAGTTTTTTTTTTTTTGAAAGCGTACCTGTATTAAGATCGTAGGAAAACGTACAAATACACACAGTACAGGTACATCCTAGAAGGATGCAGAAAGAACAGCTGTCCCACACAACTTGCACAAAAGACCCTACGAAAAAAGAAATTACAAAAAAGTCCTCCGGATCTTCTATGCTTGCCACCGTCGTTCTTCGTCTTCCACCACTGCCGCCAGCCATGCCAGCACCAGATCAGGAAGAAGACGACGAACACCATAGCCAGAAGAAGTACCATCGCACGAAGGCTTTGAATGGAGCCACAGTAGATCTTGACGGAGAAAGGACGTCGACCGGGGACACGCCCCGTACTCCTCTGACCGTGGCCCTGCACAACTCGCCGGCCGGCAACGAGGAAAAAGCATAGGACCACCCACCAGCCAGCCACGAATCCAAGAACCATCCCTTTGCATCGGGCTGACAGCAATCGAACCAAAGGTGGTATCGCCAAGCAGCCAACTCCTAAGACTGTCTGGACCCTTACGGACACACAAACCCAAAACAAACCGTTGCAAAAGACTCTCAGTCTTTATCACGAGTACTTATACGGAAGATCTATTTTGAGTTGCCTGGAAAGCGCATAATCTAAATATGAACATCCTCTCTCCTAAAAATTCCATTTTGAGAAAGGATTTTCTTTTAGGTCTTGTTGTTGAAGATACTAAATAGGTAATAAATATTTTGCCTATAACGCTACAAAAACGAATGGGTCTGACATTTTTGGGTGCTGTTGTTGGAGATAGCCTGTGGCCCCGTTCGTTTATTTCGGATCGAGCCGTTTCCGGGCGTCGTTCCGGGTGGAACGGAGCCACCTGTATTGAAAACTGGAGTACCATGGCCAAGATCGAAACCTGGTCCGGCCACTGCCGAACGAGCCCTGAGTGGGAAACACCGAGATCTGGAACGGACGCAACGTCGGCAACTCTTCTAGAGCTCTCCCTCTTTCCGCGCCCGCCTCCGATGGCTCCGAAACAGCCATCAGCAGAGAGGAGACCAGGCCGGAAAAGCTTATTCCTTAGAAGCGGCGCCGCCTCCTCCCAACGGCTACCGCAAGGGAAAACATACCTCAACTCCTCCACGACGAAGAAGCCAGGCATCACCACGGCCAACGCCAGCGACGACTCCACCGGTGGGCAAGCAAAAGACATATACATCGGCCACCTTAACCCCCGTTCCCAATCCTCTCCGACGCCAAAACGGCCGCCGGAGAGGAGGTGGAACGGAGGGGATCGGCGCCGGAAACGACTCTCCTTCTTTTCGCCCTTTGTGAGTTGGGTGGTGGACTGGACCCCGGCGGCCACTAAGAGAGCATGATTGCTTTTCGCCTCAGAAATCGCGTGGCAAGAGCATCTACTACAGTGGATCCAGGAAATCCATCCTCTTCTTTCCCTGGAAACTGTTATAAAAGGGATTAACAAAGAAAATAAGCTCCAATAGATCCCTTTCTAATCATCTTTCCCAAACTTTTTCTCTCAATGATTGATAAAGGAACATCGTTTGGCACCAGGACAGAACTGTTGTTGGCACAGCGGCTTCTTACCTGTTCCAACCTTCCAGGAATGGCAATTTCTTTGTAGACATAAGCTAACCATATACTACAACAAACACACAGGGAGCCTGCAGAGATAGTACACTACTACGCAGCAAAGTAGGAAAAAAACAAAAAGAAAAAAGTGAACTGCACATGAAGAATCAAATTTGCCAAAGATATGGTAGAGTTGTAATTTGGCCATATCTTCAAATAAACTTTTACAGAAATGAATTAAGAGATGTTCCTAAAATGAATACCATACCGTGGCATACATCCACAGGTTTATTTACACAATATACCTACAATACGCTATTAACGGACGGGCATCCCATTTGCAGTCACCACAAAGGTGAAGACATGACGTGGTCTGCAACTAGAAGCTCATGTAAGGCCCTCTTTATTTCCTTCTTCTTAGCTATTATAAACTACCTAGCAACAAATACGACCTTGTATAAGCTTTATTGAGAGCGCAGTCCTTGGGAAACTAAGTTTCCCTTCTTGATGCGTGAAAGGAGTTGCACTTGCAAAGTTATGCTGCTAAGGATAATTGGATCTATCATGAGTTCACTCTGCTTCCTGTCCTGTAAGAAGGTATTATTATAGGAATGCAGTATAGACTGTATGTGTAGTGTACTAGCAATGTACACTCACCTTAAAGTGGTTATTAATAATATTTTTCTTCTGTTCATGCTTCGCGAAGAGCACGCACCCGGTCCTGAATTAACTTCCTCTCCCAGCCCGCAATGCCCTTGAAAGCATGCTCTGGAAGATTCTCAAAAGGCTCTTTCGACGGATCATTCTTAGCTAGATCATAGGTTGCAGCACGGATAGCTCTCTTATTGGGTCCACAGGGCCTTATGGAGGTTAGCTTCTTATAAGCTGTATTAAGCTGCAAGTAAAGGATCGATAAGCAACAACAGTTTTAATCTTGTACGGTTGTACCACTCTGCATATGATAAGATGGAACAAACTTACATCCATGTTCTCAAACCAAAACATGTAAGCAATTGCAACCGCAGGTGCTCTCCCAAGTCCAGCAGTGCAGTGGACATAAACTCGCCCTTTGCGTTGCGATATAGCCCATTCTAGTGCCGAAACTGCTTTTGGTAATTGTGACCTCAATGAATCTGGATCAAAATCCACTGCCTGCAACCAAGCAATTGTAAGCATATAGAAGAGGCCAGATGCTACTAGTGTCAATAACTGAAATGCAGACTGAGTAAGAGGAACACTAATTAGTATTTTTCGAAGTTATCAGAAATTCGAAGAAATTTAAGCATATAGAATTATACACAGTCAATGGGTATAAGATGCTCACCGGTCTTCTGATGTGCTGAATGCCAAGTTCTGTGCACCTATTGAAAATGGATTGGAAATCAATGCCCCAAAATTCGATGTCCTTGTCCTGCTGTAAACAAAGAATATATGCTACTCGCTCTTCATCTTTCAAGTGATCGATATCTTTAGGCTTCTGAGGCTGTGAGCCAACAATCAAGCTCTCACTTAAGACAGCATAGTTCATACCTATATTCCAAGTTTAATGATTAATCCTTCAATTATTGCATCTAGTATAGCATCTTGGTAAAAAACAACTTAAGCCGGAGAAGGATATGTAATTGACTCTGACAAAAGAGGTCACAAATGTTTACAAAAAGTTGTTATCTTGCTACTGTTTAAGTGAGAGTTTCACAAGAACTTGCCTGTGACGTTAATATTTCAGAAAAGAGAAGGTTTTGTAAATGAGAAGTAGGATAAGTTAAGGAAAATATATTTATTTCTGTCCTGACATAGAGCTTGGTTATTCTGAATTACTCCATCCATTCCAAATTGTAAGTTGTTTAGGCTTTTCTAGGTGCATAGATTTTGTTATGCACCTAGATATACTCTATGTCTAGATATACAGGAAAAACTATGAATTTAGAAAAGCCAAAACGACTTACAATTTGGAACAGAGGGAGTACTAGAAACTTCACAGGGATAATGAGTACCAATGTTTCTTTTTAAGACAAACAGGTCTAGGAAGCTATAATTTTGGTCGAGCAAACTATCAACAATAACGCATTAGACGATCAATTAACATTTAACAGCACTGCAAGAGTAGTTTTTTCCTTCAAGTTGGCAACAGTCTTAGTGTGCTATGCAATATATAGGCAACAATTTGGTAATACAAAGCTCCCAAAATGCCAATGGGGCTTCTTTATGCATCTTGTTGTCTTTTTTGTTGTTGTTGTTGAATGAATCAGCACGAGAGTGTGCCCATTGCATTGAATAGAGAAGGGTATGCATTTTGTTGTCATGAAGGGGCAAATCCAGATCAGAGAATCTTCACATCAGCCAAGAAACAAGAAATCAATTCAAGAATTGCCCCAACTGCCACTGAAAAATGTGGATGGATCGTACAAAGCATGAAGAAATATCTACACAACCAAATATACATTTAACCACCAAGGCAACAAATTTTCATGATATGAAGGGGCAAGCATCCGAAAGCCCTGTGAGCACAGCAATGACATCATCTCACGGTCTTAAAATTAGCTATGACTAATCTCGAAAAGAATATCATATACATTAAACTTGACCAAGAAAATTGGAGGCTATGTACCAAAGTCCAATCTTCAAGCAAATCCATTAGTAATTTCACCAAGTACCACATTAATTGCGTGGCATCACTAAGATGACTTCTGAAATCCTTATGGATAAGTTACTAGTAACAGGCAACATCACACGTCACAAAACAAGCTCCAGCCTTTACCCATTTTCCACATCTGTAGCAATCGACAAGGGGCCATCGCAACAAAAAGCAATACTAATGGAACGAGTCAGTACCGAGATCGTGGTGGTATTCGTAGGGGTTACGCATCATCCGCTTCATGGCGGTGTTATAGTCCTCCATCCTCGTGCTCCCTTGGGCTCCGGCCGTGGACGAGGATCGACACAGGAAGACCCCAAGGTTCCTCCGGTGGCTCCTGCTGCCGCCGGGACCGCATCTGACGGCGGCCATAGCTAGCCTCCTGCTCTTAGCGCTGATGCTGACGGTTGGGAGGCCGCAGGGGGTGGGGAGCCGATAGGTGTTCGCCATGGCCGCCATTGTTGCGGTTGCAGAATCTCAATGTCTGGTCCGCGTGGAGTGAGGAAACGGGGAAGAGTCGAAGAGAGGAATGAGGTTGGGCCTCATCGCTTTCCCGTGAATGGACTGAATAGAAGCCCAGAACCAACGGCACACATACGTTCTGAAAAATTTATCCTCTCTAAAAATGTTGCAAATTTTATATAAGACTTTCGTTCCTTTGCTTCCAAAGTGAATTTGTGCGAAAAAAGTGTGAAATACAAAGTTATGTTGATTTTAGATGAGAAATTCACTTGCAAATAATGGAAATGGTAATCGTGAATACTCTATAGGTTCACGATTGTATTGGTTTAGATGCCTACTTTAGTCAACTGAAAATTACGATGCATACAATCAATTTCAGAGACAGGTAAGGTGAATAGAGATTCAGGCTTCATTTTGTCAATATGTTTTTTTTAAAAAAAAGAATGACAAAAGCTTTGAACAATTTTATTAGAAAAGATTGACCTAGTTTTTAAGGAAAAAACGAACATGAAAACCTTACCACCATGACATCGAACTACTCAACAAATAACTAAAAACAACTCAATAAGCTTGCCACAGTGAGGACAGCTAAAATGCTTGCTACCAATCAACTAGACAACTTACTTAAAAGATCACAAACTAAACAAAGACCAGCCAAACACAATAGGTGCAACTAGAAAACCGAAACATTGGAAACTAGAAAGATCACAAGCAAATACCAAAATAGAAAATGGCATACAATTAAAAACTCTTGAGAAAACACTAACACCATTGGCAAAACCACCACAAGTTGATCCAAGCAATAAGCAACTAAGGAGAAATACTACCATCTCTGACACAAGCACCACCTAATGAACCACAACACTTAGAACAACTAAAGCCAGAACAAAACGAGGGCTAACACGCCATTGGAAGATAGATAATAGGTCAAAAGGTAAGTTGTCTAAGAAAAAACTTCCAACTATGTTACCCTCATCCAAGAAGACCACAATATGTCTCATGAGTCATATTTGAATGACGACGGGTCTAACAAAACAACACCATATGTATATGGCTAAAAAACAACAGCCTTATATCTCGGGCCATTCCTAATATCTGAGAAAAACTTCAACCAGATTTACCCTCATCCAAGAAGACCACAATATGTCTCGTGAGTCATATTTGAATGACAACAACAAAACAACACCATATATAGCTAAACAATCTCAGGCACATGAATATCTGCGACTTTTTTACAAATCCGACTAAAACAACACTTGACATGAGGCTGTCAGCTTGAGGAGCTATACCGTGGCAGAACCGCTTAATCTAATGCCTCTCAGAAGTACTTGTCTTCCATTAGACACTAAGTACTCAAGGAAGGACACCAAATTACGCAGTTCCGTCGAGCACACCCAGGGAAAAACCCAAAATATCCACATTTTTCCATCAGGATCACAAATGAGAGAATAAAGCTTACAACATTTTAGCCATTTGTTACATCATTTTTCATGCAATATCATAGTATAATATTTATTGTTATAACAGCGGAATATAATCATGTTATCAGAGTTATGAACAATTTAATTGAACAACGGAATATAAACATGTGATCAGAGTTACAGCGAAAATAAATATCTATTCCTGACATGATGAAGCATTGATATATAAACTAGGACAACAGATTATAAAACTTCTATTTATAAAAATATTTAGTGAGAGTTATAAATAAAACTATGATCGCAGCGTAAATGAATCCTCTCTGAGCCCACTAGGAGGGATCCACACAAGAGTCAGCTCTAGCATCCACCTGTCACCTACAACAGGGGGAAATAAAACCATGAGTACTCAATTGTACTCAGCAAGACTTATCCGACTAGTGAGAATAATTTTCCGACTTTAAGGGATATGATAAGCTTTATGGTTTGCTGGATTTTCTTTTTGCGGAAAGCAATACTAATAGTGAATCCTTATTTATGTTATTATTAACGGTCATGATTAATTCATTATCTAGCCATTCTATGTAAGCACATGTTCTACTTTTAAGTAAGAGTTGAGCAAACAGTTCCATTTCATCACCTTTCGTCTTTTAGTTCTTACTACGGTACTAGACCGTAGACAAGCCGTACCGAATCGCCGTGATTCACGAATCAATGTGCCCAGCTGGGTACCCCGAAACTCACACCCTACTTGTATCCTAGGCACAAGCAGGACCAGCCCATCACTCTCCTATCATGGGGTCCAGATCCCCGTCCAAACTTGGACTCCAAGCCCCCGCTCCTAAGTCCCGGACTTAGTGCGATGCTTAGACCTCCACCATCCCGCCTCCAATCAGTCGATCCGGAAAGAGTCAGAACCCACGACAAGAGAGCAACAAGCCTTCCCTGCGCCCATACCCAAGTATGTGCTCGGGATAATAAGTTTGTGACTTGCCTAGAACCCAATGCAACGATCGGTCCTTAACCGACGTAGACACGGAAAAAGTGTAACCAAGCTATGCCCTGTTAGCCGCAGGACACAACCTCTTACATCCACCAATACCCATATCATGTCCCTACCCGGTCTTCATTTATCATATATATATATATATATTCTAAGTGATAATAATATAGTAACAACAATAATATATTTTCTATTTCTCGTGAGTGACAGGCAATCACTCGATTTCTATCGGAGTCCTGTAGCATAGCAATCTACACGATCATGTCACACTAGTAAGACACATAGGATAAAGATATATATATATATATATATATATATGCAAGTGGGTTTCATTCAACTCCTTAAAACTTAACGCACAAATATAATTTAAAGTGCAGAAAAATAGGGATTATGCACCGGGGCTTGTCTGGGTAAAATATAACCAAAAGTTAGCATTCCATCTTCGTGATATGATTCCTAGCACCATTCTTTTCAGCTATTCCAGTTGATTACACGGTCCATCATCGTCCCTATTATGATATGCAATACGATGCAGAGATGATGCAATAGTTAATTAACAAGGCAACAACAACTCTTAAACAGAGTATATACTACGAACTAACAAGCTAGCTCTAATGACTAACGTACTAATCTACGTATCAACATCGTCAAGAAATGTGTTATTTCCCAACAAGTGTTTTAGTTATACAATCCCAAGATGTTTTTTTATTTTATTTATTTGATTTACTATATATTCAAACTAGGCCTCATTAACTACTCTAGTAAACTAATTATTATGGAGCTACAAAAATTACAGTGAGCAACCAATAATATTAGTAATTTACTGTAAAATTTTTAGAGTCAACACTATCACCATTTTTTCACAAAAATTCCCACAAGTTCACATTTTAACAACATTAAACATTTTAAAATAATTAGAGCAACCCTGGAAATATTATTAAACTAGATGAACCAATTATGCTAATAGATATATCATAATTTTAGGAGCCTAACAAAATTGGTTTCATAATTTTTGGACAACTACACAAATTTATATTGATTTTACAAGTTTATTCTCGAAACTAAATTAGCAATTGCTTTAGAAAACTAAAGGGGCCAGCGGCAACCAAATCGGCCCAGCGGCCCGCTGCGGACCACGCGGGGGCGTGACCGCGCTCGGTGCAGGCAGCCCAGCAACGGCCTAAGGCGGGGAGCCCGCGTATTTTGCAAAAGGACCCCTAGCTTATTGAATTTCTGCGCGACGATCCTGAGGGCTATTTCACCAGAGACAGGTTTCGCAGCAAGCACCCCCCAACAACTTCATCTTCTCAATGAACTGGTCCCGACGGCCTGCGCACGATGGCGCGGCTCCGGCCAGCACTACACCCCTATGCCGGACCGCAGAGCGAGGCGCCGGTTAACCGAGCAAGCCGACGAGCGCCGCGGGGCCAAGTCGAACTCCTGGATGGCAGTTGGGAGATAAACAATGGTCCCAGCGCTCTGTCCGCGCTGCCGAGTCACCCGCCACGGTGGCGTGAGCGCGCCAGCGTCCTAGGATACTAACGGAGAGGTAGGGCGGTGGGGAAGTAGCAGGGGCTCACCGCGGTCCGCGCTGTGGTGGCGGCGGATGTAGGGGAGGGCTGAGGTGACCTAGCCACGTGCGCGTGAGCACGGTGGCGGCGCTTTGAGACAAACACAACGCGCCACCGTGCCATCGACGAGCGCCCTGACCAAAAGAAGACGAGCACCAGCCCAAGGGGGTCAAGACAAGCTCCGAAACGCCGTCAATTGAACCTTTATCGATGGGTAAGGGCTTACCCCCAAATCGTGCTCTGCTCCGGGCGAGATGACCGGTGGCTCGAAAAATTTCCACACCCAACCGACCAGAGTGAATTGAGGAGCTCAAACGGGCCAACAGGCTAGCCTACCTCCAATCCTAGCTACGAAAACACTGAATCGAAGTGGGATGTCACGAATCATGCGTGCAGGCTTACGCCACGGTGCGCTCCGTCGGCGGCAAGGCGGACGAGGCAGCGACTCACGGCTCGGACAACCACGACCTAGGTTGCATTAAATGAGCAGAAACACCCACACAGTGAGGCCCCGAGGGAACGTGCCCCGAGTTGCTGAGACGGGACCACTTGGCCTTGTCCAAGAGCGGGCGGCGGAAGCAGAACGACGAGCGCGCGGGAAGAGCATTGACACCTCGACAAGGCAGTAGCTCGATGAGACAATGGAGGGTGGCAGTTACTACGGGGTAAGTGGCTCGGTGGTAGTTGGATTGGGTGGCGAGGCGGGAGCCACGTCGACCCGGCGGCTGCTATAGCGCCATCGGCTTGGCCGCGCATAGCCCCGCCAGCAGCGCGCACACACCACCCCACAGCAGCGGCCGCACTCAGACGGGCCGGCCAACGGCATTGACCTCGACCAGGGCAGCCAACGGCAACGGCGCGCTCATGAGGCGACCGTAGGGCAACAGAAAAGGCGGGCGCGGCACATGCGTGAGGGGCGCCTGAACGTGACGGCACAACGTGGTGGGCGTGGTGACCGCGGCCACAGGGCTGAACGGCCGAAACCAGTGACGTGCACGCTTTTTA